GACCAGGGCAACCGCACCACGCCGAGCTACGTGGCCTTCACAGACACAGAGAGGCTCATCGGCGATGCTGCCAAGAACCAGGTGGCCATGAACCCAACCAACACAGTCTTTGGTAAGGCTGCAGGGTTGGCAGGCTCTTCAGTGATTCAACAGATTTTTTTTTTTTTTTTCTAGTTGTGTGAATTACTAAAAGCAAAACTTAAAAGACCTTGCATAGATATTAATATATCTAAATTATGTTTAGCCAGAATAAAGTTGCATTGGTAAAAGCTAAAATTTATCAGAGGCAGGAAAAATATTTGCACTGTAGTAGGTTTTTTCAGGGTGGTCAGTTTTTAATCTTAGCCAGTTGTCTTAACATGGTTTATGGCTCAGTATTTCAGAGCTGATAGCGCTGGGTTTGCATATTCGATGAGATGGCATTTGGTGTTTGCCATCTTAAGTCTTAACAAGGTAATAATAATACAAGGTTAAGGATTGTGATATAGGATTTCATGAATTTTTAATAAGAATTTAAAAGTTTAGTTAGGAATGATTGCTATTAATGTGTGAATCCTGTCTTTCAGATGCAAAGCGGTTGATTGGGCGCAGATTCGATGACTCTGTGGTGCAGTCTGACATGAAGCACTGGCCCTTCACTGTGGTGAACGATGCTGGCAGACCCAAGGTGCAGGTGGAGTACAAAGGCGAGACAAAGAGTTTCTACCCAGAAGAAATCTCTTCCATGGTTTTAACCAAAATGAAGGAAATCGCAGAAGCCTATCTCGGCAAGGTGAGTCCAGGACCAACGGGAAATCTGGTGAGCAGTTCTGTGTGAGGGTTGCCATTCCTAATGAGCTGTTTGCTGTGTTTGCAGACTGTTACCAATGCAGTAGTGACTGTCCCAGCCTATTTCAACGACTCCCAGCGCCAGGCCACGAAAGATGCTGGAACTATTGCAGGGCTGAACGTCCTGCGAATCATCAACGAGCCCACAGCAGCTGCCATTGCCTATGGGCTGGACAAGAAGGTATGGAGGGGTCGCTGCCCAGTGAGTAAGGTGTTTTACTCCAGTAGTAGTAGGAATGGAGTAATGGAAGTGGGTGTTTCCTGCAGGTTGGTGCTGAAAGGAACGTCCTCATCTTTGACCTGGGCGGCGGCACCTTTGACGTGTCCATCCTGACCATCGAAGATGGCATCTTCGAGGTGAAATCCACAGCAGGGGACACCCACCTGGGTGGGGAGGACTTCGACAACCGCATGGTGAACCACTTCATCGCCGAGTTCAAGCGCAAGCACAAGAAGGACATCAGCGAGAACAAGCGCGCCGTGCGCCGCCTGCGCACCGCCTGCGAGCGCGCCAAGCGCACCCTGTCCTCCTCCACCCAGGCCAGCATCGAGATCGACTCCCTCTACGAGGGCATCGACTTCTACACCTCCATCACCAGGGCTCGCTTCGAGGAGCTCAACGCCGACCTGTTCCGTGGCACCCTGGACCCCGTGGAGAAGGCCCTGAGGGACGCCAAGCTGGACAAGTCGCAGATCCACGACATCGTGCTGGTGGGGGGCTCCACGCGCATCCCCAAGATCCAGAAGCTGCTGCAGGACTTCTTCAACGGCAAAGAGCTCAACAAGAGCATCAACCCTGACGAGGCTGTGGCGTATGGGGCAGGTAATTGATTGCTCACTCTGCAGCTCTCGGTGGTACAAACTGGTGTAGGCACTGGGTTTTCCACCCCGATCCCTAGAGCTTGGCAAAGCTGTAGGAATTCCCCTTGGACTTGCAATGATGAATCAGATTCCAAAGCCATTCGTAGTTTCCACCAGAGGTCGAAAGACTTGTGATGGTGCAAGTACCTTCCTTGGATGTCTGAGCGAGCCCTGTGCACCATCACGGCTCACAGGGTATGTCCTGCAGGGGTTCTAACGCTGTGTCTCTCCCCCAGCTGTGCAGGCTGCTATCCTGTCTGGAGACAAGTCTGAGAACGTGCAGGACCTGCTGCTGCTGGACGTGACTCCCCTGTCCCTGGGCATTGAGACAGCCGGAGGGGTCATGACAGTCCTGATCAAGCGCAACACCACCATCCCCACCAAGCAGACCCAGACCTTCACAACTTACTCTGACAACCAGCCCGGGGTGCTGATCCAGGTGAGCAGGGAGCTCTGGGGCGGGGACAGGACACTGTCAGTGCTTTCACTGCTTGGTACTTGAGTAGTTCTTAGGCCAGAGGAGTTAAATTCCTGTAATTTGGAAATTCCTGGTTGCTGTGATGAAAGTGACTCCAAAGCCATTCGTAGTTTCCACCAGAAGTCGAAAG